TGCGTAAAATTCGAGGACGGGAAGACGAGCAATTTTGCCATAAAATCGCAGATCGGTCGCTCTAGTTTCGCGATATCGGATCTATGAGCGATGAATCTGGTGCAATGCAATTGTTCGCATACCCGCGGAAAGTTATAATCTCGCTCGGTTTTTTGTGTGACGTCACGACGATTGTAAACGCACGTGATATCGACTTCGGGAAATAATCGATCATAGATGATTGACCACTCATCGCGATACATCTTCCCGCCTGACACAAAATCGATTCAAAGTGAGAGATAATAAAACAAAATGAATTTATAAAACGCGACCGGATCTAAAAACTATATAAATAAATAAAATAAAACTATATAAATAAAGAAAATAAAATAAATAAAATAAACTGATAAAATAAAATAAACTAACAAAATAAAATAAACAGCTTCTTTCACGTAAATATTAAAGATAATTTTAGTTGCGATTTTAATTACGATACAAAGAAAAAAAATTAAATCAGTCGAGAAAGAATATATAAAATCATGCTTATTAATTTTATTAAAATCAACGAAAATATACTCGAGGGGAATACAATGACTATTTATATCGTTCTAGCTTCTTTGCCCCAATAGCGAAGAGATATTTAAACGAGATATTTTATCTAATAATTACATTCGAATCATTCCCAATAAAATTATTATTTATTATTTCGCGGGGATTTAAAAAATTAAAAAAAAAATATAAATAAATATAAATAAATATAAACAAAATGTTTCTCCAACCGGAGAATTATCGTGTAACATCGGTGACTCGTAACTTGGTTTTCGGGTCGCGTCGGCGGCATCCATGAAAGGATTAGCTGTCTAAGAGCATTGAAAGAAGACGCGTGTTGTGCGCATTAACGGGTCGCCCGACGACGAAACGACGCGTCCCGACGTCGGCACCGGGGACAGTGACTGCTATTATTAGCAACGTCGTCCTCTTCTCATTTCGCGCTTCGAGAGGCAAAATAGCATCAGCTGACATCCTTCTGGAAGAGATACACGACGGTGCGCCCGAGAGAGACCCTCGACTCGTCGTCGTGCTCTTAAACGAGTTTCGGCCGCCCTTTAAATTAAATTCGCTCGCGAGTAACATTCCTTTTCTCCCTCTCGATCGCCCTGGATCCGAGCGAGCACTTAATTACACGCCGGGAATAATAATCGCGTGACTTGCGCGCATCGTTACATAAGTGTTTACATTTTTAAGTCCGCGCGCAACGAATTGCGATCATCGTCTAATGAGATGCTTCTTTTATTGACGTGGTGATTTGGGAGACGCAGGAATTGCAGCTCTTGCAATTTCGTGCGAGGGATGGGAAAGTTGAAGAGCAGAAATAGGGGGAGACTGCAAAGATTAACGAGTAGAAAGAGCATGAGAGCGAATCGAGCGGAAGCGAGCCAATACGAGATTACAGGGCAGTTGGGGCTCGTGCCAGATGCGCGTTTACACGGGCCCTGAATGCTGTAAATGCACTATCTGGTACGACATCTCTTCTGTCGTCGTCATCGACGAGCGAGTAACACGACGCCAACTTTATTAGCGCCGTAGATAAGCGTAAACGACAGGAAAAAAATCGATATCCTTATCCTCTCAAGAAGGATAACGCTGAGAAAGGCACGCGAAAGCTTTTGCGAAGCCTTTTGCGACGCTTTTTGTATATTATACGATATAGTATTGATGGAAACAAAAAATTTTATAAATCTTAAATTAATTTTAAATTAATTTAAAAATTCATAAATTAAGTTATAAAATATCTTAATGTCGCTAGTCAAATAATCACAGGATCATTGAAAAAAGTGTAGTCGGCCAAACTAACCAGAAAATTTGTTTATTAAACAAATTTTCTGGTTGGTTTTGGTCGATTACACTTTTTTAATTTTAAATTAATTTTAAAATTAATAAATTAATTTTAAAAATTTCTCTTTACATATCAAATACTTTAGGACTGTCACCTTAGAATAGCATTCCCGGATTCTCGCAGAAAGTTTAAAACAGAGGTGGAAAATTGTTTTTGACAGTTTTACGTGGCTTACATCGAAAGCAGAAATTAATATGAATTTAATAGGAATTGATTGAAATTTTTGACTTTTTCCGATAAAAAGATAACGCTTGAAAATTTTGGAAAATTAGGAATTGACGTGAATATTTTCGAAAATATTTTGCAAAGGTGTTTCCAATTATTTTTCATCTCTGGTAAGACATGTTTAGCCTCTTCGAGGAGAATACGTATCAATGTAATGAATCTTCTTGATTATTTCGAGTTGTCTCCAATTCGTAAAAGAGCACAAGAAAGTATACATCCCTCTTCTTTTATTCGAGTCACAACATTATTACAATTATAATAACGTCACGAATAACAGCGAAAAACCGTAATATTACAAGCGCTATATTATTAGCAGCGTTTCTTTAGAGGCAAATATTAATTAAGTTACGATCCATCTATGTATCTGTCTAAAGTTTCTAATTGGAATAATTGCGTCGGAAATTTTCGTTCGGGGATTAACAACTTGATCTGCGGCAATAATTTGCGATAATAACGTTTGACATTTACATTGCGTAAATTTGGGCTTCGAGCGATCAGCAATAAGAGCAACGCGTGTTCCCGCAATTTGCGTGAAATCGATAACATGTGTCGGCGATTCTGTAGAAAGTAATTCTCTACACACGCGAAAAAACCTGTTTGAAACTGCACAATGTATGTGTGTGTGTGTGCTGCAATAAATAAATCGTATTGCGAATCGTCAACATCGCCTCTCCCTTCTTTCAATTGTAAAATTCGTAGGAGGAGGGGGAGGCAGCCACTGAACGCATGCTGCGTCGACAAATATGAATACAATTTTTTTTTTTTTCGTGTGATATTATCAGCAGTGATGACTCTCTATGAATAGATGCGTAATGGCGTTCGATCGTCCATGACGAGGGATTTGTTAACGGAGAAGTACGTGGACATTGCAGCGCCTACACTCTCTCAGTTCATGCTTCACGTTTACGCGACGTTTGCGCAACAATTTATGCGCACACATACGTACCGTTCATACACGCACACTGGCTTACACATAGGATCATAGGGTATATTGTATCACGAATGACAATAAAAATCATCTAATGCGTTCTTCATTTAATTTCACCAGCGCCTTTATTATAGTGATTAATTTGTATCAATGTAGAGATATTTTAGAAGAGTAGAGATTATATATAGATTTAAAAAAAATATTTTCCCTCTAGAAGTATTTAAATGAGGAGGCGAGAAAAGCAGACATTGGTCGGCAGCAAAATAATTCCATTGAATTTTATTTTTAACATTTCTATTAATTGATATATAAAATATTATTATTATTAAGAACAGAATCATTAATCACAGTCAAGTTGCTTCTAGTCTGCGATTGAAATTTAATAACTTCAATTGAAAAAACTTGTTTTTCATTTCTTTTGTTTTTACTCATTTGATTCATAGATACAAAAAAAAGGTACGGGCTTTCAAACATTGCTATAGGATAAAGAATCTTTTCAATTTGTCCCGAGAAAAATATTGTTTGAAAAAGATTAAATTTTATTGTGGACAAAAATAAAAAAAAAATTCAATTTTTGCCTTAAAAGCCGAGATTGGAAAAGAATTTAGAGATCATCCTAAATGAAATTTATATTTCAGTTCAATTTGTATTAATAGAGATCTTGAGATTCTTGATTTTTATATTTTGGATAGATTAGAAAATTTAAATTCCAAGATAAAAATTCCAATCTAATTTATAGACGATACGCATTCTGTTGTGCACTTGTGTAATGATATTTGGCGTTAATTACATATATATGTAGGATGTATAAAAACGTGTGTGTACAACGGGACGTTCAAAAACGCAAAGTGCGTCGGGGGGGGCGCGAGGAGGGGGGAGGGGGAACGAGATGGGAGGAGAGGGAAGTGGAGCGAGTGCGCACACAAGCAGAAGCTCGAAATACTTGGTTAAAAATAATTGGCTCTTACAAGAGCGGAGTGCCTCTCGTCGAGAGGTAGAGATTCGTCGGAGGCAAGGTCAATCGATAGGGAAACCTCATAACACCTATATTCCTGTCAGCATTCGCGGCTCTCTCTCGTAAGTCACGCGAAATTTGGACGTCGCGGACGCGCTTCCGCGATCCGTGGTAGGAAAACGCACTTCACGAACGTCATCGACGACAGATGACCGCGCGATATCCAGGTACGAGTCTCGGAGCCGATTGGGGGAAAAAACCTACGTCATCCATGATGACACCGGAGGTCGAGACGATGAATGCTTTATACTCGCACGTACATTTCCGAGTTTCGCAGAATGACATTGGTTATCTTTCTATCCATTAGCTCCAAGACATCGTTATAGTAATTACGTAAGTAATCAGCTGATTGTCAAGAGATGCAAGAAACGCTATTTCGCTCTGGAGGAGCGTCCGTTAATTTCAGTTCTTTTAATTGATATAAATGACAGTTTTTCTCGCAAATCGATATACAATATTCCTCTTGCAATTTTATTATATCGTATATTTTAATGGATTTGTATATCGCTCACCAGGCTCTTAATCATCTGTAATTTATCTAATTATCTGACGGTAATCTTGGAAATAACTTTATACGTTGTTATGTCGTGGGAATAACGATTAAGAGAGAAGAAGATGATCGTCGATCGAGCTTGAAGAGCAGAGTGTCCGAAGAATCTTCAGCAGAGCAGATACATCTTTCCTAATCGTTTAAAGGAACAGCTTCCTTTAGCGATCGGCGTGTTGGCAGTGTGGTTAGCTGGTTGTGTGGTTGATCTATATACACGACCGCTATCGGCACTGCAATTATGACGATCGCAAACCTGCTAGGAGGAACGTCGTTGACGACCTCGATACGGACATTTTTCTTCTCGCTCTTAAACACGAGAGAATCGCTTATTTTTAACGGGCAACGAAAGAAAAATTCACTGATGCAAACCAAACAACTGATCGTTCTCTCTCTCTTTTACTTCCAGATCAGCCTACGTATCTTTCGGGGGTCTACTCATGAGGCTACAGGGCGACGCTAACAATCTGCACGGCTTCGAGATCGATCAACACATGTACCTGCTGATGAAGAAACTTGCATTTTAATTCTACCGATTGCGCGGGCCGTCGATCTCTTCCCACAGATCAATCGATGAAGAAATTTTTGTATTTTACATATAACATAAATAAATAAATGTAAATACAATACACTAATAAACGATATCAATTACACTCTTCACAATAACATTAAACGATGAAATTTTCTTTTAATTTCAATTTTAAAAATTCACATCAAACTAGTTCAATGATTTTACATTCTAATTAAGTTATCAGATAATGTTACTCATTATTATGACTATTGATGTAGAATTAGATTATTGAGAAATTTATAAAATATAAATAGAAATAAAAATTTATAAAACTTATAAAATAGGAATTTATAAAATAAAAATATTTTTTTATATTGAAATTTCTCCCCATCTATTGATCCACGTTACATCCTTTTAATAGTTGCTAAATATATAGAACAGTAATAAAACTCATGTTCAATGAAATAATCCTCACATGGAAAGATTGTCTTTTAAGTTACTAGAGAGTGACCGATCAATCTTGATAAACGAAAATAATGAAATTTTCGATTGGAAGCACTTGATGGGATACATTTAATGGAAAACAGGGATTCTGGAGGATCAATCTTTCTATTCGAGGTTTAATCGCGATGAATCTATAGCGCGGGCAACTATATGCAACTGTGCAACCAATTCTTGGATGTTGACCAAGTCGTCACGAAGTGCATCACCAAGTGCGCCATCGAGATACGAAAATAGGAATCAGGTATTGCACACTTCTCTACCTGTCCTGTCAATGTGTGCGTTGTATATGTGTATATATGTTCCCGTGAATATGTACACAGTCTGCTAAATAATTAGCCAACTAACACTTGGTATATTTCTAGGATAGCCATCTATCCCTTCACTTTACTTCGATTGTCGATCGATTCGAGTATTTGATTTATGTTAGATAAAGAAACGGAAATTTATATTATATATTCTAAGATAAAATCATTATTTTTAAAAATTATAACAAATATTAATACGTTGCAATATAAAGCATAAAGAAATATCTTTCATCAAGTATAAGAAAGATGATGAAGAGAAAAATTTAAATAAAAATGAAAACTTAAGGAAAAGGACAATAAATATAACTATTTCAGAGTCTAATTCAAAATAAAATTACTATAAAATTAGATTTTTTGAAATACATGAGACAAAAAAACTTAAATATGAGCTACACTTTCTGTTACATTTTATCTCTTCGTCTCTTGTTTCCTCTGGAATCTACAAGTTTAATGTAAAATGCTAATAGTATAGTCAAAATTCTAAAAAAATTAAAAGAATGAAGAGATTAAATAAAATGAGCAGCTCAAACGACAACGCACATCGCGATGAAGACCTGACTATGGTAATTAATTTGTATAATTGAAGTCGAGGTATTTCTGACCTTGTGTACGCGCGCAGCTGCAACGCTGCCTCCTCGCACGACGCAACGCGAGGTGTACGCGACAACATGCGATCGAATACGCCTCAAATGGCGGAGGTTGACGTGCGCGATATTGCGTAACACTCGCGACCACGAGCGTAAAATGGCCGATGCTTAGGAAGAGAGAGAATCCGATCCTAAATAGATTAGTCCAATAATATATAATTCACTCTCATCTCGCTGTTGCGTAACGCATCCGTGAACGGGAAATCAATGTCCGAATCCAGACTGTAATAATATCGAGATGCTGCCTGCTAAATGACAAATTTGATACGCTTTATATTCTTCTCAGTTCCCTCATTTTTGATCTAACCATATTCCATGTACTCAATAAAGTCATAGAGACAATTTAAGAATTTTATTAATAGCTATCTTAAGCGTACAAAATGGAGCTTGAAGGAACTTTTCTTATATAGACTTATATTTACAAGCATCTTTCGCTGTTTCTGTTTAATCAATATGTATTCAATTTCGTGGTGATGATAACGCGTAAGCATTGATCAAACGACGTGCAAACACCGAGTCCTTGTTTGTCCGGACTCCAATCCAAAGCACTAATGGGTTGCGATGAGAGCATACTATTTTGCAGCAGGCTAACGTTGCCCACAACACCCTGCTCGATCCCATCGACATCCGTAGTTTTTCTTTTCTCTGGATAATTACTGAGAAACAATAAATAAATGTTAGTTTTTAAAACACATATTTCCATGTAATGCCACTAGGTGCGATTTTATTTAAAATAGAAATAGCCTATATATATACTTACTATTTCCATAGGCAGATAGTCCCTCCACCTCCGCAGGTTGCGAATAATTCGCGATTTTGCGGTAAATGCTTAACCAGCCATATCGTCGATTTATGGGCCTAAAATCGTGCCAGGATTACAAACTTATATATTGAAGATATAAATTTTAATTCTCTCTAAATAATAGACCTTTTCAACAAGATACGGAAAGCCCTTCTTGGGATGCTGAGTCTTCAAGTCAAAAAGATAAAATTTTGATTCTAGCGTAGTGGCAACCAGCTTATTCATGGGGATGTCTTTTCTGTCAAATTCGAGACTACAAACTCCATTCTTCAGATTACTTTCCCACTTTACCGTCATTGCTCTCAGATCAAACATTTTGACATCACCATTATCATATCCCGCAGCCACTACTCTTTCCTCAGAATCGTAAGAATTGCCAAATGCGACCGACCAGCAATCTCGTCGACTTTCCCCTTCCTTAGGTTCCATAATAGCAACTGGTCGACTCTTTTGCCTGGGATCCCATACTTTAACACTTCCATCTCTGGATCCAGTTACCAATTCAGGTGCACCGCATCCTACGCTGGTACCTGCCACTCCATCAATGGCATTTATAATCTGTGTGTGTGCATTAGCTGTGTAAACTGGTATCGAGGGATCCTCTAAATTGTAGATATTTAGTTTACCCTGTAAAATGGACGGATAACATTTAGCTTATTTAGTAAAACTTTACTAAATTAAAATAGAATACTATTAAATGTGAATATTAAAACGTTAATAGATATCTGAAAATGAAAGAAACCTTAAAATCACCGGTAGCCAGGTATCTATCCCGAAGATTGGAAGCCTTGAATGTCCCACATTTCATCTGATTAGACCTCTCTATATCCTTCACGAGCTTCAACTCGCCGCTGGACAACTCGTAGATCTGTATAATGCCGGTACCACGAGGTCGAGACCCCATAACCACGAACTTGGCGCTGCATGGTATCCATTTGACATCAAAGAGCGAATAATCCACCGATTTCTCGATGTGACAGATTATTTGCGGCTTTGCCAACTTGTCCATGTCTGTGGTAAAGATCTCCTTTCAACTTTAATTGTCAAGAAAATCCGTCCTCATCTTTTTACAGCAAAAGCCATAAGCTGCTTTCGCGCGTAACTATAAACAAACTCGTGCGCCATCTACACGTTGCCGTCACAACTAGAAAATGTCATCCAGGAACAGACCTTTTTTTGTAGCAAAGGTAGTGCATATTTCTGTTGCTCCAAATGTCACATGACATACGCTGCATACAATATATATGCTTGTATATTTCTTGTGAAGAGAAAATTACGTTCTTCTCTTCAACTTCTTTCTGACATAGCTTTATTTATATGTCTTATGTATACACATATACTGCCAGTCTATACTAAAGTTCTATCCTTATGCAATTATATAAAAAAATCAATGGTCAAAGTAGAGCATCTGATAAGAAAAAAGAAAAGATCAAATACCTCATATAAATACAAACATATATCATATAAATAATTTGCATTCTAAGAATATCTAATAATATTTTCTTAACTTTTTATCTTATCTTTTTGGGAATCCAGGAATGAAGATCAAGTATAAAAATGCATATTATTTATACAGATATAAAAATATTATTTATGCAAGTCTAAAAATACATATGAAACAAATATATAAATACTTATTTAATACATATTATTTAAAAGATTCAAAAATTGTGAACCATATTTAGTTTTCACTGTCACTTCCACTATTTTCTTCCACCACTTCCATTATCTCAGGCGCCTCTAATTTTTGTTTGAACTGTTGAATATATTTCAGTAACCGTCTGTCAGAATGCTTCACCTATAATTACAATTAATATTTCATATTGTTCAATCAATATTATATGAAAGACTTAAAATAAAACTGTAAAGAATTATGCATACCATATTTGTAACATTCTCAATGGCTTCTTGCAAATTTTGTTTTGATGGAGCATCCTCTATTTGAATATGCAAATTCGTTAGAGATTTTATGAGAATATCTTTATCTATATTGCTTTCCGAATTTAGAATCTCGGCCAATATGGCAAATGCAAGATTGTTGTGTGTGCAAAACGTTTGAACTTCTGTTTTTTGATATCCTCGACTCGTTAAATTCAGTATAAATTTAGAAACGTGATATATATCAATCTCCCGTAATGGACTAACATCTGGTGCATCGCAAAGAGCTCGTAGAGTGGGAAAATATGCGCTTTCGAGCATTTCTTGTGCTTCAGGTACACGTACGATAAAATGCTCGAAAAAAACGCTTAAGCACTGTCGAAGATAAATATCATCAATATTTGCTTTATTATAGGCCAGAATTATCAAGCGCGATATGAGAGTACTGCTACTAATCCGTTGGTTGAGCAGCAGTTTACAGAATCCTTCTGTAGCAATAGTGCGCATGTCTTGATTCTGTAAATTTCCAAAAATATTTGTATCATAGTAAATTTCATTTGATTATAAGAAAATTCAAAAAGACACTAGTTATTTACCGCATTGTTTAGTAATCCTATTAAAATTTTAATAAAATTGCAAGGACCCTTCTCTATATCAATCCGTTTATTTATAGAAACGATACTGTCTTCATGTGTGTAAAGCAAACGACTCTTTTCAGATTTATTCTCAGAATTCTCTTCCTGAATTTGCAAATTTTCAAAATATTCCAAACCATATATGAGTAAAAGGTCGAATATTGCCTTCAAGGCAACAATCCAATTTTCTTGATTCTCTTGCTCGTAAGAAAATTGATAGAAAAATATCATTATATGTTTTTTAGCTAATTCTTTGTCCAGTATACAATAAGTGCTCAACAATTTTAGCGCTAATACATGCACATTATCGTCGGGATGCTAAAATAAGGTTATATAAATTAAAATGTAATGAATAATAGTAAGTAATTGAATAAAAAGAAATGTAAAATATTATAATTATATACACATATAATATGTAATGCAATATATGCTTACGTCAAGACTATTTAAAACAAGAGACATTAAACTCTTGAGTGTGGGCGTTAATGTGTGAATGGATTGCATTGCAAAGTACAAGATGTTGAGGCACTTTATCATAGTTATGGAATCATTTTTTTCCTCACGCATATCGTCGACTATTACTACTTCAGGAATCTTGGATAATTGAGTAATTTCCTCTTTCAACACCTTGATCTTCTCTTTTATACTATCAGCTTCTAGAAAATTCTCTTCCTTGACTGCTTGATATAATTCTTCTTCGAGTTCCAATATATCAACCTTCAATCTTGCTTTCTAGAATCAAATTGAAAAATAAATTGAAATTGAAAAAAGATAAAAAATTGAATATTCATTAATTTAGCGGTAAATCATCTAAAATGCAAACCTATGATATTTTTCTTGTCTAGAGTATGTAATTAACTAGATTCTAATACTTACTTGCATGTTTTTCTCCTGTTGTTGCTCTACAGTAACTTGCTCAGTATCTAAATTTTCGCATGAAGGTAATCTAATTTCACTAATAATATTGGCAATAATGTTTAGCATATTATTGGTATCTGGTATCACTTTTGCCAAATGGTTCACTGTACATTCAATTATTTTATCGTAGCAATGATCGCTCATTAGAGCATCTACCATTAATTCGTTCAGTTTCTTCCTGCCCACTTCATCTGCAAGATCATAAGTTGTGGATATCTCAAAGAGTTGTAGTAGAATAAACTTATGACACTCTTTTTCCCATACTTCATATGATTTGGAAGATATGAGAGTCATATAATCATAGATATATGTACAAAATCCTGATAATTCTGGAATAATTAATTCTAATTCTTCCGTATACGAATGATACTGAAGATGTTTTATGACACATTTCCAAAACAAAACATTTTCATTCGATATATTTGTCAGTGGAATTAATCTTGTGTCTTTATCTATTGGCACTTGCTCCAATAAATTTTTTAAATTGGCATCTCTGTAAAAAGATAATATTTGATATAGAATTTTATTCTCTCATTGATATTTCTTTTTACCATTTCTTCATAAAATATACTCACTTGAATAATACTTGTAAAGCTAAGGTAGCAGTTTCTGTTCCTATTCCAGCATCCAGAGCATGAACAAGATTTAAATACTCTCCTTTGTAGCATCGTAACCATGTTGGCAACAAAACATTGCTCACACATTTTCTGACATTCTCGGATCTGTCTTTGAGACCATCTTTCAACAAGCGTTCTCTTTGTTCGATAGTTAAGGAACGCACTGTGATTTTACTGATAAATTCAAATGCCATCTTGCGCACAGAATCATCAATATCTCGTGTTCTTATCAATACAGCTTGTAAGGTCTTTTGATTTTTACCCATACAGGAGAGGACCGCCTTGCGAACCTCAGCACTTGGATCCTTAGATACATGAAATACATACATTTTTATTACAGGACATTGTTCATCTGATGGATCTTGCAATCTGTGCAGAGCAAAAACAGCCTGCGCTCTGACTTTGGGCGATTTATCCAACAACCGATCCATCATAGTGACTGTAATTTGATCGCACAGATTATCATCGATGAAAGCATCATCGCCCATAGAGTTTAAAAGTATGTTTAGAAAGTGACATATGCGAAACCTGACTGCTTTATCTTTAGCACTGTGATGCGATAAGAGAAATTTGAATAACTTGTTAGCAAACGGAGACATTGGTTCCATGCTTTCGTTCTCCGAAGTAGAATAGAAGCTCACTACGAATTTGGCACAAAACTCTAACGTATTTATGATATACAAGTGTTGTTGCGCCATCGTAAGAGGAACTTTCAAAAATGAGATGAAACAGTTCCAAAATGTATCGAAATCGATCTGAAAATAAAAGAATCATAAAACATTAACACAAGACTTGGCTTAATGAGATAAATATGCAAAGGGGAAAATTACTTGAATCATTGTACATATAAAATTAATCGATTCAATCTTGAGATATTATCAAAAATTTCAGAAAATTTTATAAGGCTATTAAAAATGGAACAAAATAAAAATATTCGAAAAGGAACATGATTCATGACTTACTCTCTCGTATAATTTCGTGAGTCTCTTGATGTACTGTGGATGATCGATTTTATTATACTGCACTTTGCAGAATATAGTTTTCATTTCCTTCTTGATTGATGAAACCATATTTGTGTTTTTAATGTCAGAAATTGTGTAACCGATTCTGTAGAAGCACGAACAGCCGCCGATGCAATTTTCCGCGCATGCGGACCAACGTAAAAATCAGGAGACTCAGTAACGTATATATTTTATCGAAATGTATGGTATTGCCAACTCCCATGATGGGGAAAAAAATGGGGGATGTCAAGAAAATCCAATATATTAGCCACGTGCGGATTAATAAATTGTACGATTAATACAGCGTTCGAAATAAATATTCTTGTGTCATTAAAACAAGTAACATGAAGAAAAACATTAGAAACATTTATCGAATTCAAAGGTACCCCATGTTATACGAGTCTTTCACATTCGTGTCACGTGGTCAGTTGCGTATATCATCAAAGTATTTCTATTGGACATCACGATGGTTAATTTTCAAATTGATGTCAGCTGACGGCCGTTCGATGACGTTAGAGATTATATAATTGATGCTGACGAAGATTTTTTTCTCTTGAATGGTTAATCGAATGATTCCAACTATTTATCATTTGTCGAATATTTCAAAGAGAAAAGAATTTATTCAATATCTAAAAGAAATTTATTCGAATGCAATATTTTTAAATTTAAAAATAATTCAAAGAAATTTTCATCATGAGTATGTTTGTGGGTGACAAATGCGTTTGACATTAGAAATGCATCGAAAAGAAATTTATAAAGATTGCAAATTTTTTTTCTGACTGATTAATCAAACAATTCAAACTATTTGTTACGTCAAATATATTTTTGTCAGAGAAAGTTGATTAAAGAAATTTCATTCCAATATATGTTTCCTTAAAATTCTATTCGATCACTAAAATAAAGGCTGTTTGTACCTATATTTCGTTTATAAATGATAATACAAATAAAATTATGGCATGAGAATTATCTTGAATTTAAATAGATAAGAATTTATATCAATATAAATATATAAGAATAACCGAAACGATGACCGCTTTACTTTCCAAAGAGATAAATATTTCCATATTTCGAACTCATATGAGATTTAATATTAGATGACTTTAATATTAGAGATTTTGAAATTTCGAGAAGTTTATAAAAAGAATGATTTATGCGAGAGAGATGTAGGATCATATAATTAAACATTTCGCACAACAGTAAATTAAGAATGGAGCTTCAAATACATCGTGGTATAATTATCGTATTTTTTTACACATTTACAAGTCGCAGATATTTCCTCGAGAAATGGTTTGCAAAATATCTGAACGGTTTATCGGTTACTCTCTAATTATAAATTTCTAATTATTCTCGAATATACCTTTACGTCAACAACGATAATAATTATAAATACAACAGAAAGCAATGATTAATAATAATCGCAAAAGTGGCGTACAGCTTTTATCCTTTAATCTACTCGATGTCCGTCAAAGAGGAAAGACAAGGAAAATGGGAGGCCGCTCTATATATTAATTATGTATTTTTTATTTAACATCAAAAGTAATGACACTTGGGTTGTATTCGTATCTCAGAGATTGCGATGTATTTTCACATGTGTCGCGTGTGTAAAAACAGAACTTATCGAATAATAATTAATTAATTAATTAATTGCGAAAGGGAATCGTCAATCGTCAATCAGAATATAGATATAGCTGGTGGAGCGGTGTACGTGTCATTTCCGAGTAAATCGTATCTCTCTCTCTCTCTCTCTCTCTCTCTTCCACCCTCTCTCTCTCTCTCTCTCTTTCTTCCTCTATACGCGGTGTACAAAGTGTGTAAATGTGTGGTATACGCGGCGTTTATAACGCAAGAAAAAAAAAAGAAACGGAAAAAAGAAGTGTATATACGGATAGACCCGTGAGACGAGGAAGCGGTCCTCTCTCTCTTTCCGGAGAGGAACGCTTCCCGGTCGAGGTCGCCGTCGTTCGCGCGTGCGATCTGTTTGTCCGTCATTCAATTATTTAAAATATATATACAATATTAATAAAACATCGTTCGCTTTCCTCTCCCCCCCTCTCTCTCTCTCTCTCTCTCTCACTCTCCCTCCTTTTAAACTTTCTCTCTTCGTTCAATGATTCCGACGCGGATGCGGCGGACTGCGCAGGCGAGCGGCGTCACTTTTTTCCGCGAGGATTCTCCTAACGAATGTTAGAGCGATGAAAAAAAAAAAAAATTGGGAAAAAAGCGAACATTGCGCCTTTCTATCAGAGTGTGTGTGAGTGAATTTATATTTTTGATTGCAGAGAGAATCGACGACGGGATGAAACAGAGAGTCGCTCGTCTTCTCTCCCTCTCTCTCTAAAAAAATATGCGAAAAAAGGGAGGAAACGAAGTGATGATCCCGCACACCATGGATAAGATAAGCCTGAGAGAATAGCGAGCGGCATCGTCCTGCTCAGTCCACCGCAAAAAAGGATTGTGTGTGGTCTTAGACCGAAACTTTCTTCCCCTGGCACGCGTCCTCTCTTCCTTCGATCCTCGTTTTCTTTCCTCCGTTTTCTTCCTCTCCATCGTCTTCTTCTTCCATCTTTTTTTTTTGTTCGCTTATACGTACTTTGTTTTTTTTTTCTTCAACAACACGATCTAGACTAAACCATATATAATAATTACATCTAATAATATCTTATTGTAACATGTATTATTATTAATATTATTATTATTATTTTATCATTATTATTTATTTATATTATTATATACTATTATATATTTTATTAATAATATTTAAATTATTAGCCTAAAGTAAAGAGGCGGCGCACGACGGCAAAGCATTTTTTTTGGGCTCCTACGGCCCCCCTACAGGCACGGAACACCCTGTCGACAACGCCGCGGATCTTCTCCGTAGCTTCAAAGATATCCACCGCATGCATACGCGAAGGTATGCCCCTCCTCTTTCGTTCTCTCTCTCTCATTTTCTCTCTCACGCTTTCTTTATCCTGCACCTTTTCATCCCCCGCATTTTCGTTGTGACAGAAGTGATCGATCTTTTACGGCCGCGACATTAAAATCGAGTCCTATTCATTTCTACTCCGGCTCGGCTAATCGCTGTCTCTTTCTAAAAATTACAGTTTACAATTCGCCTATACAACGCAGACGGAGAAGGAGAATTTAATTGATCGGCGTCGATCGAATTTGGAAACGCCACGATGACTGGATAGTCCGAGTAGGATAGATCTCGCGCGATGGATACTTTTGAAACGTCTCCAATTCCAGTTCCCGATGTACGAGCTCGCACGCGAGTCGTGATCCATCTCTATCCGATGCCTTCTTCCCGCGCTCGTCGACAAAACCCTTCGCCTCGTCATTCTCTTCCACGTGGGACATTTGCCAGTACACCCTAAAAAGGACAATGAGAGAACATTTGATTTTTTTTCCCACTCTTCCGAGTTGATCAGTCGCACATCCGGAATGCAATTCGAGCCTTCCCAGACAGCAGGCGTATCCAAAAGATGCGGTAGAAGGTATCTCGAAGACGTCTTTGGGATGTCTTCTGGAACGTCTTTAGGATATTCGTGCTGTCCGAGCTACTTCGGGTCTAGTCGAGGCGGCGGCACCGGACGGAAGAAACCGGCGAAGGAAGAAACGTTTCGCGTTGTACGGGGCACCTCGAGAACACGTCGATTATTGAACACTTAGGGTAGTTTTGGGGCCTGGGCCGCCGAGCGAGCAGTCGCATGTTCACTCATCGAGTCCCGCGTTCGCCACAATCGATCGGTGAGAACGCAATCATCTCTCTCGCGGGTCGCTATACAACACGATACAATTAGCCACGCGATTGCCCGATTTCTCTCTTCGTGAATAGCAACGATGAGCTGGACTTTGGATCGTTTGGACGCGACACGCAAACGAAAGAAGCGTTATTGCTCGCAAAGGAAGTGGAATGATCATCGTCCGAGAGTCGAGTGCGTCTTAAATTAATTACAATTCTTTCAACAACAGACGCGAATATAATATAATGAGAGAACGGTGTTTTAAAATCCTACCGTTTCGCGATATCCGATAGAAATTTGTGAAAAGCAGAGAGAGAGCATTATCCCTTATTTATTCCTCCACCCTCCAGAAATGATTGTGGCCCATCGCATCTCTTGTCAAGTGCAATTCTGCGTAATTTTCGGATATATCGGTAAAGGAAAATTTCGGTACCCATTTCTCCTGCAACCATCAACAGCTCGATCGCATCCGAGACGAACGCGGGACCGAGATGGACCCACCCCGGAGGAGACGAGAAGAGGGAGGATATAATATAACTCGTGCACATGGCACGGTTGCGAGATCGCGTCGATGAGAAAAGTCTCGGATCGTCCCGGCCCGAAAAAAAAAAAAGGAAAAAAAGTCGCGTGGCAGGCATTTTAAGTCACCGTTGTGTATTGTTTCGATACTACATGCACAACGCACATACACGCGCACGCATACACACACATACGCGCAACACGGACAGCGCGCTCGCCGGCTGGCTAACAAGAGATCCTACACGCTGCTACACAGGGCGTTCCGCGTTGCGGGGGGGGGGGGGATCAATGATTTATAGCGAGCTGTCCCGCTGGCATTTTAAATCTATGAAAAACTAAGAGAAGGAGTTTTTATATTCTTCATTTAGCTTTTACCTAAGTAAGAACATTTTTTTTTTTTACTCGCTTCCTCTGCTCCGGTCTGTCCCTCTTGCCTTCTCTATCTATATTCCGCGTACATATACCGCACCCCTTCTCTAATATAAAGCATTCGTGTGTATTATTCCGTACGTTTTTTATTATCCCATTATTCTGCCTCGTTAAACTTTTGTTATCTCCGCTTCTCCCTTCCTCTTCCGTTAATCAATAACGTTTTATAATAATTCATTTATCTTCTCGAATGGCATGCGGCAGGCTTTATTTTCTTTCTCCTCCGGTTCGCCGGCAACCAGGCCGCGACTACCCACCGCTTAATTACCGCATCCGCCCGCGCAATCACATAACGTATCGTTTTATCCTCGTCAATTGGTAGTGATTCAATTGATAATTATTTTACATTTACCGCATACATATCTTCGCCGCCTAATTATATACCTCCTCTTTCCCCTATCCTCCTGTTGTTAGATTACGAATGGAATGAACCATCTCCGTTGGAACCTACCCTGATCAACCATGCACCTTTCTTCGAGCCTGTCTCCCCGTTTGTTTTCGCGTCTGTTAGCGTGATATTATTTTTCGAGCTAAGAGTCATAACTATACTGAAACTACGCGATACGTCTTTGCCGTTTTCGTCCTGACAGCTACACGGATTAAGACTCAAAACCGAATGTGTATGTCGTTTATTTATAATAATAAATACTGCGAATGCGGCTTTATTTTTAATTATATTATTTTTTATTTCATTTAATTATTTATATAACTCTCTCTCTCTCTCTCTCTCTCTCTCTCTCTTTCCTTTATTTTAGTTATTTTATCATGACGTATAACTATAGACCGTGCCGATATTATCTATCGTAACAGGTCCTTCGTTACAATTAACAAGTAATTAGATTTTCGTACGAAGTATATATTTCGGTGTCACGCGAGATGCCTAAGAATTTTCTTTAACGGTTCTCCTGTTATATTGAGCACTTTTTCCGATTTGCTCTTTCGCGTCGGCCTCTTTGCTCTCTTCTTTTTCTGCGAGTCTATCTTCTTGTCTTCGACCTAAAGTTTTTCTCAATGGAGGGCGTGTTGTGTGTATGTGCCGATCTTTAGCGTACTGTTATTTTGCGCGCATTGATCGACGATCAACGAAAGCCTATTATTATAAAGTTTCTTGGTAACGCAAAGATGTCTACGATAATACGCCACTAATAGTAATAAGAAGTCGCGTGAATGTAGTAATTTGCATCCGGCATACATAAGAATACACGTGATTCCGTGATTCTCCATCGTACATTAATGTCCTAGTCTCTTGAGTGCATGTCTATTCCCGCTGCCGCGTTCCGGACTTTCATTCTCATTACCGCCTCGGCTTCCTTTCATCCGTGTTTCATCACCATTCACCACGTTTTTTTCTTTAGGCCTGACACTCGTGCATCAGTCGCATTACGACGTCATCGATTCAGCGATTCTTCCCAATCATCTCCCACTCTCTTTTCTTCGTTCCATCTTCCGACGACCCTTGCGCAATATATTCTCGTCCAGAATCTAACAATAGCAGCAGCACCAATCATCACCAGAAAGCCCCGTAGTTATATTGTTGGATGCAGAACAGAAGGCGCGACTTCCCAATCGACTTTTCAATTCGTTACAATAGCGAAAACTGATGAAATTTCCTCTCGATGAGAATCCCTCCTTTTTCCCTCGTACACCGGATCAATTTTTTGAGACTATGAAACCTGGCACGCAAGCGTGCAAGCGATTGCTGGCGGCAAAGCCAGAACGACGAACGTGCTCTTTGTACCTCGCGCTGCATCTATAGCGCTAAAGGGTCCCCATGTCGCGGAGAAATAGCGCCTTCTTTCTCGTCGTGAGAGCAAGCGCGAATCTCTGCGCATCCTTCGTTGTCCATCCGTTGCTCTCCCGACACGTAACTCGGACAGACCCAGTAGCACGTTTCGTGTGAAAAGTGTTATATATCTGTTCAACATGAGTGATTTATTTATTTTTCTTTTTTTCAGGTGTATATCTTTCAAGTGTGAGTATGCGTCTCATTCTCTCTCATCATCATTCTCTCTCTCTCTTTCTCTCTCTCTCTCTCGCTCGCTCTCTTTCTCTCGCTCTTTCGTCCGTTCACTCGTCCTCTTGCGCGCGCGCTCTGCATGCGTGTAATTTAATCCTCCTTGCGTCTAATAGTAAGTTTCTTGCTCGAGCCATCCGCCTGGATTCCGGCGGAGATAGAATCGTCTCGTCTCATCATAAATGAAGATGGCGAACATGAACGGCAGAGCTGGTAGCCACCATACGAATCTGCAACGTTACATATATGAGTTATTAATGTTTGTGTCGCATTGTCGATTGTATACTGCTAATTTGAAAGCAGTTATGATTCAACGATAATAACATTTTAATCATAATCCTTATGTGTTAAGTAAAAGTCGAATTTAAATGTTTATTAGTAGCATTAATACGTAAAGATTTGAATAAATATATGATCAAAGTCAGGGTCGGATTTAGGGACAACAGGGGCTGAAGCCCAGGGGCCTCGGCAACACAAATTTTTGAATAAAATTTCCTATCGAATGATATACAACACTTACAAGGTCTATGTATATTGCTTGACCTTGTTATTTCACAATAAATTATTTAAACAACGTAAAAATTTCTATTTAATTTTGATTTAAAAATGGTTAGGGGTCTCCACTTCTTCGTTGCCTCCACACCTTTAAATCTGGCCCTGATCAAAGTTTTTTTAAATTTGGTTCTTGATCCAAATGAAGAACTTTACGATAAAGATGGATGATACATACTTGAGAGGGAACATACGAAGACCCTTGTCCATACCAGGCGTGTAACTTAGGAACGCAGCGAGAGCGGTCTCAAACACGAGGCCAAAGTTCAGAGCCCAGTTTCTCATTCCCTGATGAATAATCGAGTTGCGGCGTGTTTTGCAGACGATCAGATCAGCCCATTGCACAATTACAATCGATACGAAGAAAGCTGTATGGCAGGTGAACTCCAGCGTTTTGCGGTCTCTATAAGTCTGTTTTTTTTTTTACAAGAAATAAATTTATACAATCAGTTATAGATTCCTTTAATATATTAATACATCAAGAAATTTAGAATGAATTAATTAAAAATTGAATTAAATTCTTATTTACAATATTATTTTTTTTTTATGAATTATTAATTAGGAAAAATTGATTTGCTGAAAATGAAATATCAGAATGCTTTCACACAAGAGAATGTCCAATTTTCCTCGATATCACTTACCCATTCCTGACCATAGCTGTCGGTTAGATCGTTAATAGCCTTAGAGTCCCATTGTTTCCGGATACCAAACAGATATAGGGGCAGGAATCCATTTTCAGCCATAATGACAAAGTAGACGAAGAAGCCAGCCGCGGCTTGGATCATACCAATTTGACCGTATGCCATCGAGATAAGCCTAAATACAGATAAACTCGTTGAAAAGTATTCTTCCTTCGGGAGACCAATGACGCTGCTTGCTGTCAAACCTCGAGGAATCTGTATTTTACCGTGGCAACTTTAAACACAACACGTTTCTTTCTTCAAGAGTAATTATAGTAAAATTTTTTATATAAAAATATAAAATTGAAAAAATTTAATAAAATTATGTTTGACTTTTTCAAAAAAAAAGAAATTTGAGATTAAATTTAAGATTTAAGATTCTCAAGATTTCTCATATTTTTGATGAAACGTGTATTAAAGGCAGAGTCCTTTGACTGAAAATGACTTTTACGTTGCATCAATTTGTGAAATTTTTGATCTCTCGAATTTTTTTCAGGTGACACGGTATTTCAGAACTCCTCGAGATCTCAAGAAGCGTTTGCCATCGAGCATCCAACTTTGGTGTTACTTCTAATGATCAAAGTCTGTGTTAAAGTTAACAGAAGCCATAGTCACCGGTTAGGAGCAAAATGCAAATTACTTACCGACGAATAGGTGAACGGTTAACGATCGGTTCTCGACAGTGAGATGCATGCCACAAACGGACAGGGACAGAGATAAATTAGATAGACAGACAGACAGACAGAGTTGTCGCTTGCCAGTTCTCACGGACAAGCTGCACGTGAGACTTTGCACCGGTTAACATCGAAGCTGCCCATTTCCCATAGTTACCTCGCGCTACCAAAGCTTACCCCGCGCACGTTTCCAGTCCAGTTGAGAGTTAGCATTAATTTATTAAAGCGATTTACTGGCTGGCACACAAGTATTTTATACTATACTATAATCCAAGAGTTCAAAGCAAGAAGGTGGACCGAAAGTCCGCGATAATATAAGGCTTTTAAATGTGACTTTGTACTTGAAGTGGAGCTTACAAGATTTCTGCTCTTGCTCCAAATGTCTTGATAATCTGGCTATGAAGAATCTTCCCATCATATAATATTATCGAACGTACTAACAATTTAATCGAAGGATTGCACGTCATTTGACAAGGTCTAACTTGGATAAAATTGCAAAGACGTAGAAATAAAAATTTCTCATCTTTTAGGCTTTTCCGAGTGGAATTATAATTTACAAGGGGGATGTTCGATTGTTAAGCCAGAGTATCAATATAATCAAACCGTAGTGTAATTTCGTCTACTCCTCTTATTACATCTGTAAAAGTCGTACTAAACTCTACAAGAAATCACTACGAATAATCAATCATTGTCAAAGCAATTGTCAGATCCATGCAATGAGAAAATATCTGTGCGCAGGGTCGAGTTTGGAAGCGAGTCGCATGCGACGATTTAGCAATCACAGTTAGTTGAATTGGACGACTTAATGGCCTCATCAGGTCCGGGAAGCGCAGTCGAAGAACCTGTAATTAGCGAGTTAGATTCGCGCAAGCGTGCTCAGCGGATTCAAGGTGTCAAATGTAGAGAGAAGGGCTGCAGAGCGGCATTAAAGTCCCCTGACGTTGGGACGTCTGGTACGTAAATAAGCGGCAGCGCGACGAAGATCGATATCCCGATCGCGATCGCGATCCCAGATCATAGATCGTAGCGTTGTTCGTTGAGAAAGAGGCTGCGCTCAAGCTGTGCATGTCGCTTTCAAAAACTGCTCTCGGCGACCAGCGTTGTGCTCGCCATCCTCGATGAGAAATGTTTAAAAAAAAAAAAAAAGATCAAAGACAGCGAAGAAGAAAAACAGTTGAGATAAAACGTGCATTTCGTGGAAAATTCGTTGGTAGATAGTCGCGAATTCGCCGTTTTCCCGGCGAGGAAAACCCTCTAAGTCTATCCAACTCGTATCTGTCCCTGGAAATATATTTTCATAAAATTTATACTTTAGATAAATATACATGCCATCTGTAATATATCATAAAATTAGAAATTCTTAGTTTATATATTTGTTAAAAATTATTTAGTGAAAAAAAAACATGTACGTTTCTTATCCTTATATTTAAAAAATTTTTAAGATAAAATTTCCAGAAACAGATGTGCATGTGTGTGTATCCATCGAATAAAGTAACCGGTAGATTAGAATTCGATGCTGTCAATATCGATAGAATTTTCCCACATCTCAATTTCAGTTTCACATTCAATTACCCTAGATTCCGAATATTATCCGTGTAATAACTGTATCAATTATACAAATTTATAATCAACTATTGACAGCACAGTATTAATGAAGTTTTCGAAATTCGCCCGCGATTCGCTCGCATACACCTAGTGCAACGACTAAGAAAAAGTAACACGTAGATAGTTTAAAGCTAAACGATTAGATCGCAGCGTGTATGTTAGTTTTGACCAGGTAAGAGAGTCTAAGTGTGAGATTCTCTATGAGAAAAAAAGCATTCGGCATTCTCAACATCTGATAACTCTTCTCTAGAGGTCAAAAACTTGCTTTGTGCTCTATCTAGTCAACTAGATTCCTAGAGTCGGATATCGTTTGTCTGCAGAGTGTCTACCGAGATCTCGTACAACTCACAATTTTTTAGAAGGGAAAAGTTGAGACTCTCGTTCATCATCTCATCAATAAACTTAATCAATCTTAAAGAAGATATAAGATACAATTTTGTTGCTTAACCGATTTTTTTTTCCTCTCAAGACGTACACGACGTCATCAAGAATTATGTTTTACGAAAGAAAAAGGGGAAAGATATCCCACGGATTCATCAGAGTTAGTAGACACTCTGTTATTTCGTGTATTGTACAAAACATCCGCGATCCAAGTTGAAATCACACAATATCCGGATCAAAAATAGTGTGTATCGATGCATAAATACACAGAAAAAAAATAAGTGTCAAATCAAGACTTATATACTTAAACTAACGCGTTCATTATTTCGTATATACGCAACAATTTATAATCTTCATAGAAGGATTTAATAATTTTCAATTTTAATAATATTATAGTCTTATTTTAATATTGTAATTGTCACCTCAAGAATATATAATTATTTAATTCTATTTTAGGAAAATTATAATCTTTGATTTAAAAATGTTATTTTCTATCTAACATTGTTTTTTTTTCCATTCAAGAAAATTAAATCTTAAATCATAAGAATATATTTTTCTCGATTGAACTATATAAAATGGCTTCATTCAAGTATATAATTCAAATATATAATTATTCGAATATATAGTTCCATTCAAATATATAATTATTTAATTTTACTTTAGGAAAATTATAATTTTTGATTTAAAAATGTTATTTTCTATCTAACATTGTTTTTTTTTTCATTCAAGAAAATTAAATCTTAAATCATAAGAATATATTTTTCTTGAACTATATAAAATGGCTTCATTCAAGTATATAATTCAAATATATAATTATTCAAATATATAATTCCATTCAAATATATAATTATTTAATTCTACTTTAGGAAAATTATAATCTTTGATTTAAAAATGTTATTTTCTATCTAACATTGTTTTTTTCCATTCAAGAAAATTAAATCTTAAATCATAAGAATATATTTTTCTTGAACTACATAAAATGGCTTCATTCAAGTATATAATTCAAATATATAATTATTCGAATATATAGTTCCATTCAAATATATAATTATTTAATCCTACTTTAGGAAAATTATAATCTTTGATTTAAAAATGTTATTTTCTATCTAACATTGTTTTTTTCCATTCAAGAAAATTAAATCTTAAATCATAAGAATATATTTTTCTTGAACTACATAAAATGGCTTCATTCAAGTATATAATTCAAATATATAATTATTCGAATATATAGTTCCATTCAAATATATAATTATTTAATTCTACTTTAGGAAAATTATAATCTTTGATTTAAAAATGTTATTTTCTATCTAACATTGTTTTTTTTTCCATTCAAGAAAATTAAATCTTAAATCATAAGAATATATTTTTCTTGTTTGAACTATATAAAATGGCTTCATTCAAGTAAGCAATTACATTTTTCTTAAATTAACGCAATATAATCTCACTTCAAGATTTCCATGTTAAAATTAAATATTATATTTAAAATATAATAAATATATATATATTAAAAATATAATTATAATAAATATATATATATTTAAAATATAATTAAATATTATATTTTCAAAACAAGAATGTTCTTTTTTTCTGTGTAGAGTGTCTATACACACAAAGATGAATAGAACATCTATAACACGTATACACGATTCTGGAACGATCGAGATTACTTCCAACTTGGTTCGCGAGATACATTTGCTGTACCCGTGTATATTACGTGTAAAATCAGCCTCGTCGGAGCAATCAATCGCTATTAAAAACGTTACATTAACTTAAAGTATTAACATCAAAATTGATTTTTAGCACCGCTATCACAAGATATTATTTCACTGCTATGTAATTATACGACTTGCTCATCCTTTGCTTAGCATTCTTCTAATCAGTCGGTTAGTCAACTTCTTCTAATCTATCCTCAAGACAGGAATCTTAGACAAATTTCAGGCAACATTAACGTTCGCGCATGCACGGGCAGTTAAATTTGCGTTCTCGATTAAGTTACTTCGAGTCCCTCTACTTGCCAGGCAAAGGATCAAGTAGATTTGACTGTCCCGACAGGTGTATCTGTCTGTGCGCTGTGATAGTAAATGATGTGTGTGTGTGTGTGTGTGTAAAACAGATGGATGCGATATAAACGTGAATAGAAACGTGTGTGTGTGTGTGTGTTTAAATTAGTCTTGATACGGATGTGAGTGCAATAGGTTTTGCAATGGGTTTCTGTTGGTTTTTTTCTTTCTTGGTGGTAGGTGGGTAATTGGAAGACCCACCTTCGGTTGACAAGATTGTCTCTGTAAGGATCGCGTGGCTGCCGTTTCATAATGTCCGACTCCGGTGCCTCGTAGGCTAGCGAGATGGCCGGCACCTGCCATCCACCATTGATTAGAAGGTGTACTAATTACCCCCTCCCCCACCCGCATTACAAAGAAGTTATATGCGAGAGATACATGTAACCGCATTATGGTACCACCACACTGAGAGAAAA